ACAGGGTCACTATGAGTCGGTTCCGACTCCACGGCACATAACAACAACAACAACAACTACAACTGTAATGAGTTAACTCTGGTAGCATAGTGGTTGTGAATCGGGCTGCTAATCTCACTGTCAGCAGTTCGAAACTACCAGCTGTTCCGCGGGAGAAAGATGAGAGTTTCTGCTCCCATAAAGATTTACAGCCTTGGAAACCCTGTACAGGGTCACTGTGGGTCAGAACCGACTCCACAGCACATAACAACACTGTAGTGAGTTATGAGTTGGGCTGCTATAACTGCAAGGTCAGCAGTTAAATCTACCATTCACTCTGTGGGAGAAAGATGAGGCTTTCTGCTCCCATATAGTTTTACAGCCTAGAAAATCTTACACAAGATCACTATGAGTTGGATCTGACTCGGACAGCACATGACCCTGCCCACCACCAGTAAGGAACCTTGGGGTTCACATCTCAGCTTCATTACTTGCTGTTAATATGACATTTAGTCTTTAATGACCTTGTTCAAAATGTAAATTAGAATGCCTGCCCTATCTGCTCAGCTGGTTATTGCAGATAGCCCTGGTAGGAGGCTTAGGGAATTTGTAGTCTTAAAGCTAAGTGCAGAAATGTGACTTTATAAGATTGGTGTCTAGGGGTGTGGGTGGGGGTGGGGGGGAGGTACACCTTGGGTCATAAGTAATTCAAGAAAGCGGGAGCATCAGGGGGAGTTATGCAGCCATGGAGGCAATGATACTAGAGGTGGAAAAGCAACAGATAAATTGGGTCCTGGGGGGTTTCTGACAGTTTCACTATATCTACCTGTGAAGACAAAGTGATGTTGTCAAAGAGAGATTTTGTTTTAAGATTGACTGGATCTCAAATCATAGCTTTCATTTAACTTTGACTTGGGGCAAGTTATTTTTTCTAATCGTTGCTTCCTTTACTGAAAAGAAATAATATCTATCTATGTTGGGATTATTAGGAAAATTAGATGAGGTAATGAATAGAAGGGTCCAAGTGTAGTACCTGGCATGGATGAGGTGCACAGAGCAAATGATAATTCCCTTCTGATTCTCAGGATCTTGTTATAGGAAGGGGTTGGAGCAGATTGAGATGAACAGGTAATACTTTGCTTTCCTGTAGCTAAAATAATGTAATTTCTTTTGTTAGCATTTTACCACAGAGGCATACATAGTATGTCAGCTGCTTCTTTAAGAAAAAGATTCTGAATGTGATTATTGGTCATATTCTTGCAAGGCAAGCATATCCCACATAACCATTCCTTCCAGCACCAAATGAGTATTAAGTGCAAAGTGTCTGCAAGTTGCTAAGGAGGAGACACCATGCACCATGGTAATAACCCCTGTCGGCCACAGGCTCACAATCTAATAGGAGATGCCAGTTAGCAGAGAATCAGGTGAATCAATATATAATCTTAGCTGTGGTGAGGACTTTGACAAAACAATACCAGGTGCTTGGAAAGGGGTTAACAGGAGGAAACATGGCTAAGGGACCTCAAGGGCCTTCCTGAGTAAGTGACAGTTATAAGCCTTCATGTTGGATTAGTAGGAGTCAGGTGAAACAGTGTTTACTGGGATGAGGAATTATGTGAACGCTGGCTTGGAGGGAGGAGATCATGAGTTCAATTTTGGAGATATTGAATTACTAACATTCTGAGTTGGACCTGTGGTTGAATGGGCAAGAAGGTTTTCAGGTCTGAAGGGAAATAGGCTGAGTCATCAGCGCATGGAAGACTGCAGCCTGCATGAACAATTCAAACCCACCAGCTACTCCATGGGAGGAAGATAGGGCAGTCTGCTTCTGTAAAGATTCACAACTCTGGAGCCCCTATGAACAAGTTCTGCATCATCTAGGGTTGCTATAAGTTGAAATTGACTTGATAGCACCCAACAGCACCCATAGATCAAGTAGAGGCAGATGGCCAAGGAGCAGGCAGAGGAAGGAGGAGTTTGTCATAGAAGCGCAAAAAAGGGAGTGTTTTCAGAAGCAGATAGCAGCAGCGTTAAATCCTGCTCAAAGGCCAAAGACGATGAGGACTAAAGCATAGGCATTGGATTTAGACCTTCAGAGTGGGAATACGGGGCTGCATGACAGATGAGAGGGGAATAGAAAACTCGTGGTAGATGGAACAATGAAATGACATTGGCAGCCTTTCAGGTAAATTTGGCTACAAGAAGAGGGAAAACAAAGGAACTGGTAGCTGAAAGTGGAAAGAGGTCAGGAGAAAAGAGAATTTCTTTATTCTTACCATGGCAAAGACTTGAATACATTTAAATGGGGATTGGGAAGACCTAGGAAAGAAAGAGCAGCTGAGAGAGTAGAAGAAAAGAGATACTTACTGCTATGAGGACTCTACACTCTAGTGGTTAGTAGGAAGACTGGATGTGGTGAGAGCAAAGAGAAGCCTGAGGAAAGGAAGCTAGTGGAGCGGGAAAGAAGGGAGTGCTGACCAGAGAGGCACCATGTCAGATATGCCTGTAGAATTTAACCCAGTAGACATTTGTTACTATCATTTGTGGTTCAACTTCTGTTTAATCAAGGGTAGAGTCCCTGGGTGGCAAATATAGTTAAGTGCCAGGCTGCAAATTGAAAGGTTAGAGGTTCTAATCCATCTAGAGGTGCCTCCGATGAGAGTTCTGGTGATCTACTTCTGAAAAATCCCAGCTGTTAAAAACCCTATGGTGCACAGTTCTACTCTGGCACATTAGGTCACTGTAAGTTGGAGTCAGCTTGACAGCTTTGACAAGTTTTCCTGTTTTTTGCGTCACCCTTTAATATGTCAGTAAGCATTTTGGTTCTGCCACTATCACAGATTGTAAGTGTCAGAGAAGATGAAAACATGACATGTCGCCTATTATTTTGCTGTCGCCATTTTTGAGAAGATAGTCAAGACTAAGTGTCACAATCAGATTTGGGGTTGCTGTGTTTCACTTGTTTCTGTTTTCCATTCTTGGTAGTAACCTTTCCCTTTCTCAATTTTTAGGCCTTTTCTGATGCAATTAAAAAATGGCAGGAACTATCGCCAGAAACCAGTGGAAAAAGAAAAAAGAGAAAAGAAATGAATCAGTATTCTTACATAGATTTCAAGTTTGAACAAGGTAATGGCAAACTGTGAGTGTTGCTAACACTGTGTGAAGCTGTGACACAACTTTAGCCCTGTCCCTTACAGTAGATACAGAAGGCCAGGTGGTAGGCTCCTTATAGAATGCCGTGGAAGGCATGTACACGGCCATAGTTTTGCCATGTATTTGGATGGCACATCACAACCATCAGAAAGTCGCTGTAGTTGCCAGCTTCCTTCTTTCTGCTTATTAGAATACACTGACAGAAACATTGGGTACAAAGTTTGAGCACTCTGGTGCAAAAAAGTGTTTGGGGCAGCTCTTATACTTAGGGAAAAAACTGGTCTTGAGGGTTGGCTGAGAATTAGCTACTTCATTAGTAAAATCCCTCTGAAACAGTGGCTAGTTGCTTCTTGCAGAGAGGTCACAAACTACCTGAGAGTGATGGCGTTGGGGATTTTCCCCTTCAGCATGGACTTCTGCACAGAGAACAGGTGGCTTTTCAGTATCCATGTGTTTAAATTCTCTTATTCTCATTAATAACATCGATGCCTAAAGCTCTTTTCAAGAGGGAACATGGTTGAACTCTGTAACAAATTTCATCTGCATTGCTTGTGTTCAAGAGCAGAGTTCACTATAACTTTTTCTGTGTATTGTGTGATAAATAATGCATGTGTTCCTTTCTTTTTCTCCTGTTTGTCTTTCTGTTCCATCTGTACTTAATTACATAACTTGATTTCATGCATAACTAAATAGAAGTCCAGACAATAAGTACGGAATTGGGCTGTATTTGAATGTAGGTACTCTTCAGGATCTCATGGCAGCAGGCTGTGATCCTGTGATCCCTGCAGCAAGACTGTGGATGGAGCTTTTTGGAAAGCACAGGTTTGCTGCTCTGGCACAATGAGAGAGAAAAAATCCGAGCATTGCATAGGCAGTTCTTTCTCCAGCTCTGAATAGGTCCACAGCTTTGACCACACCTCCCTAATATATAGTCAGGCAGTCTGTGCTTCTGACTTTCAGTGATGGAGAATGGAAAGTACTGCCATCCAAGGCATGCTTTTTCATTGTTGTTCAGCTACAGCTATGTCTTTTAGAAAGATCTTCTTTTATATCAAGCCAAAATGTGCTTCCTGAAATGTCTTGTAGTGCTTTCAGTTCTTTCTTCTGAAGTGACCCAATCTGTATGTACCCTCTTACCATTCTGATTTTCCTTTACTTTTCACTATCTCTTTGAAAGTTTGAACATACAAGTCTGGACATAGTGCTCCAAGTGAGGTCTGCTCTGTAGAGACAACAGTTAGATTTAGCACTGATGTTCCTCAACACTTAACTGTGCTCATGAGGAATCTACATGGACCGAGAGCAGTTGTTCGAACAGAATATGGGAACACTGAATGTTTTAAAGTTAAAAAAGGTATGCGACAGAGATGTATTCTTTCACCATACTTAATCAGTATGCTGAGCAAATAATATGAGAAACTGGATTATATGAAGAAAAACATGGCATCAGGATTGGATAAGCAACCTACAATATGTAGATGATACAAACTTGCTTGCTGAAAGTGAAGAGGACTCATACTTACTGATGAAGAGCAAAGACTACAGCCTTCGGTATGGATTTGCAACTCAATGTAAAGAAAACAAATATCCTTACCACTGAACCAATAAACAACATTCTTATGAGTAGAGAAAAGATTGAAGTTGTCAAGGACTTCATTCTTCTTGGATCAACTGTCAAATACTCATGGAAGCAGCAGTCAAGAAGTCAAACAACGTATTGCATTAGGCAAAGATGTCAGCTTGAGGACTAAGGTGTGCCTGACCCAAGCCATGGTATTTTCAATAACCTCATATGCATGTGAAAGCTGGACAGTGAATAAGGAAGACTGGAAGAATTGATGCTTTTGAGTTACGGTGTTGGAGGAGAATATTGAAAGTGCCATTGACTGTCAAAATAACAAACAGATCTGTGTTGGAAGAAGTGCAGCCAGAGTGCTCCTTGGAGGTCAGGATGGCCAAACTTGGTCTCTCATACTTCAGACATATTGTCAGGAGGGACCAGTTGCTAGAGAAGGATATCATGTTTGGTAAGGTGGAGGGTCAGAGAAAAAGAGGAAGACCCCCAGCGAGATGGATTGGCCAAGTGGCAGCATCAATGGGCTCAAGTGTGGCAATAGTTGTGAGGTTGGCCCAGGACCGGGTGGTGTTTCGTTTTGTTGTGCATGTTGTTGTTCTGAAGTGCCGTCGAGTCAGTACCGATCCACAGTGACCCTGTATAGAGTTTCCAAAGAGCAGCTGGTGAGCTTGAACTATCGACCTTGCAGTTCAAACAGCTTTGCAGTCTGGTGCATTTAACGCACAGCGCCATAGGAGGTTGCTATGAGCCAATACCGACTCGCTGGCACCTAACAACAACAACAACAAATATAGAAAGATGCCTTTGCATTTTAAAGTCACATGCCATTTTGCCTTGTTAACATCATCGTATTAGTTTCAGCCCATTATTTCAGGGTATCCATTTAATTTCAGATTTAGATTCGTAAATCGCACTTAGTAGATCATCTTTAAGGACTCTTGAAGTAAGAACTAGGAAAAACAACCTCTAACAGTTACTCTAACAGTTTAACGCTGGTGCTGGTACACAGAAACTTCTAGACAACACATTAACTAATATCTGTCAGCTGTTCTAGGAATCCTATTTTTTACCTTTTTATTTTCTTTGTCATCCAGACAGTGTTGATAGATTTGTACATTGCTTGACTAAAAGAGGGAGACAAGGTATTCTCTCCAAAGGTTCCTTTTTTGATCCTTTGTGCTGGTTACCACAGTCTTCTGATGTAAACTGAACATAGTGAAAAAAATTACTATTTAATCACCAGTCTCAAAAATGAAATAGACTTGTCACTGTAGACTTTTGTAGACATCAAAAGGAAAATAAGGAAGTCCTGTGAGCAACTCTAAACACATAAATTTGACAGTTTACATGAAATGGGCCAATCACTTGAAAAGCTACAAAGTATAAAACTCAACTAGTATAAAATATGAAATAATTTAAATAGCCTAACAACTATTAAGGAAATTAAATTCCATAATTGTAAGTCTCTCAAAAAAAGAAATCTCTAGCGCTGGATGGTTTCACTGGAGAATTCCTTACAAACATTTAAAAGTAATTAACACCAATCTCCTTTCAAAAATAAGCCAGTATTTCCGTGATGACAAAACTAGACAAAAATTGTGCACACAGATGAGAACAGCAGACAAATGTCCTTTATAAATATATATGTAGAACACTCATCTATGCCAAGAAATTTAGAAGACAGCTACCTGAGCCTGAGGCCAGAAGATCTAGATGACATATGGTTACCACTACTGACTACTCTGAGAAAGGATCACATGAAAAGGTCCTGGATAGACTGGGAGAAAAATGTGAAACAAAACTCAAAAATCATAAAAAATACCTGGAACCCTTGAAACTATACTTCATGCCTGGAACTAAACTCTGCTCTGTGGTTCAATTTTCAGCCACATGGACAAGCTTATAAAGTGAACAATAAGACTGGGGAGGTACATACACCTCAGAATGTTCTACAATTTGAGATCAAAATGGGAGCACCTGCTCAAGGACTAAGTTTAGAAGACAGGAAGGGATTAGAAAAGGAGGAATAAAAATAGGAAACAAAAGATAGAGGGGTAAGTGAGGTCACATTATAGGAATTACAATCGATATAAAACAAAATGTATGCAAATTATTGAATGTAAAACTGATTTGCCCTATATGTGATGGTTATGTGCCGCGGAGTTGGTTCCAACTCATAGCGACCCTGTACAGGGTTTTCGAGGCTGTAAATCTTTACAGGAGCAGAAAGCCTCATCTTTTCTCCCGCAGAACAGCTGGTAGTTTCGAACTGCTGACCTTGCAGTTTGCAGCCTGATTCGTAACCACTACGCTACCAGAGCCTTATATACCTTTACTTAATTCACAATAAAAAAGTTCAAAAACAAAGAAAAAAATATGTATATAGATACAGAAATCCCTAACAAACTACTAGCAAATGGAATTCAAATTCAGTAATTCCATGACCAAGGGTTTATTTCTAGGATGTATTCTAAAGAAGAAAATAAAAAATGTGGTCATGTCAGTTGGTGCAGAAAAAGCATTTGATAAAATTAATTATGTATTCATTATTTTAAAAATTCAGAAAACTAGGAATAGATGGGGAGCTTCCTAAACTTAAAACATTTACAAAAACCTACTATATACTGGTAGTATAATGGATTACGAGCTGGCCTGCTAACCACAAGGTCAACAGTTTGAATCTACCAGTTGCTCCATGAGGGAAAGATGAGTCTCTGCTTCTGTAAAGATTACAGCCTTGAAAACTCTATATAAAGCCTCTATGAGCCAGAACCATCTAGACTACATAGCCACCACTACTACAGCTAATACAGCTATTTGGGATTCACTTTTTGTAGTGGCTAAGAATGTTTAAATGATAACCCCAAATACAGGTGAGGGTGCAGAGAGACTGGATCCACTCCCACATTTCTGGAGGGAGAGTAAAATGACACCACCACTCAGGAAAAGTTTCCTTCAAGGGAAGCATGGCAACTCCCACACAGCCCAGCAGCTGCACTGTGGGGTTCCTGGGTATTTATTCAAGGGAACTGGAAATGTAAGTTCACATACAAACCTTTCAACTGCGTGTGAATCTTCAGTGACCTCAAAATAAAAAATTGAATTGAGAAAATAGTATCAAAACTCATGAGCATATGCAGGAGAAGAACTAGAGGAAAATGGATAGCTTAAATTACCTTTATTTAAAAAAAAAAAAAAGAGTCAAAGTAAAGTGTAGGAACATTAGCCAACTAGGAAAATAACAGAATAAAGATAAGTAGGAAAAAAATAATGGAGGAAAATTAATTTTAAAAATACATACAAATGATGATATTAATTTTTACTGAGCACTTAGTATTCATTGGGCATCTTTACATGGATTAGCACATTTACACTGCTGATAGCCCTTGTTTTTTAGAGCCATTGAGTCTGTTCCCACTCATAGTGACCCTGTATATAGGGTTTCTGAGGAGTGGCTGGTGAGTTTTGAACCCCTGACTTTAGGTTATTCTAAATGTTTTTTATTGAGGTAAATACACGTTCTACTCTTTTCTCTGTATTTGAAAATCATCAAAACAGAGAGTTGAGAAAGCATACATCTGTGGCGTTACTAGTGTTGATGTCCATGCGATAACCATGTATTCACCCTCCCCCTGTCCCCATGGACCGCCTCCTGTACCAGACCATACACAGAGTCTTTGTTGTTGTTGTTAAGTGCCATCGAGTCGGGTCCGACCCATAGCGACCCTGTACAGGGTTTCCAAGGGTGTAAATCTTTACGGGAGTAGAAAGCCTCATCTTTCTCCCGCGGAGCGGCTGGTAGTTTCGAACCGCTGACCTTAAGGTTCGCAGCCCGATTCGTAACCACTACGCTACCAGAGTTCCTTACACAGAGTCTTTAGTAATACTCATTATTGGTTTCAATCACAAAATAATGTGATAAATATTATCATAAATTGCTTAAGTATAATATATCATAGCAGTCGGGCTGCTAACCTCATGGTTAACAGTTCAAAACTACCAGTGGTTCCCACAGGAGAAAGATGCAGCTTTCTGCTCCCAAAAAGATTTACAGCTTCGGAAACCGTATCCAGGGTCGCTGTGAGTCAGAACCAAGTCTATGGCATATAACCACCACCAGTATAAATGCTAGCAGCAAAAATTGCTTTTATAAAACCTTGGCATGTTGAATTACATTATTAATACCGTATCCAGGGTCGCTGTGAGTCAGAACCAAGTCTATGGCATATAACCACCACCAATATAAATGCTAGCAGCAAAATTGCTTTTATAAAACCTTGGCATGTTGAATTACATTATTAATAATTGAGCAGAAATCTTTACTTTTCTACTTTTCCTATAATTACCACTTCATTCTCAAGAAATTTATTGATAGATTCAATATAAATACTAATTACCACAATGTTGTAGTTAAAACATAATTTGACAAAATCAGCAACTATAAAATCAGCAATGAAAGCAATGCATGATTGATTTTAGTGTGTGCAGTAAAAATCATGTGATTTGATGCATTATTGCAATTCAGGTAATAATAACAGCTCTGACCAGAGTGCATTGGAAAGTTCAAAAAGCAAATTAGCATAAGAGTTTTAGCCTTACAGTTATATTGATACAAGTAAGCTGAGCTTACAAAAATGTTTTTGTTAAATAACTGAACTACAGGGATATTTTCATGAAAATAATAAATCACTCTTCAGCAATTGTATAGTTAATCATTTTGGTATCACCCAATTTTACTGTGACAGCTGTATGGTGTGCATCCCCTCCCCCCACCCCCCAACACACACACACGCTAGTGATGCTACTAACGTGCACACAACACTTTCACACCTATAAGAATGGCAGTTCACATTTATGATAACCAAACTTTCTGAGGATATGGAGCAACTGGAACTTACACTGTTGGTGGAGGGAAAGTAAATTGATACCACCACTTTGGAAAACTGGCATTACTTGCTCACACCATAGATAACTGTATTCCATGATTCGGCATTTCCACTTATCTTACATACCCAATTTAAGTGAGGATATGTGTTCACCAATAGACAGCTGCAAGCCATATTCCTAATACCCAGAATTAAACACATGTCAGAATGAAGCGTGATTTGAATGATAAGAGTAGAATGGAGATTGAGTTGAGTTGTATTCACACTGTTCATAACTGGAGGGAGGGAGGGAAAACATGTAGATCACAAAGTGCCTTGTACGTTTAGAAAACTATAAGCAGCCAAGGTCTCCCAGAATGTAGAGTGTCATGAAACTTTCTATAAAGGAGTCAGAGAGCCTGGGCCACAGAAAACCAATCTAGCAGTAGTTCTTCACATGATTTTGCATTATTTTGTCTTCTAGGTGATGTAAAAATAGAGAAAAGAATGTTCTTTCTGGAAAATAAAAGGCGACATTGTAGGTCCTATGACCGACATGCCCTTCTCCCAGCTGTGCAACAAGAGCAGGAATTCTACGAGCAGAAAATCAAAGAGATGGCAGAGGTGAGTAAAATGTTTATCCATGTTGGGTGAGTTTCTAGTAGTTATTCTTTTTTGTATTCTCACTAAATAATGTAATGTCAAAGAGTGCCTGTTTCCCCACAGCTTCATCGTAATATGTTGTCAGGCTTAAGTTTTTGTCCATTCTAATAGGTATGAAATGGCATCTTAATTCGATTGTGTTTTAAATTTGCTTTTCAGTAGTGAGATTAAGCATGTTGGCATGTTTTTAAGGGCCAGTTTCCTTTTGTATGCATTCTGTGTTTGCTGCTACTTTTCTGTTAAGTAGCTAATCTTTTTCTTAAAAATTGGCAGCCCTTTATGTGTTGGCAATGAGATCCTTTTGTGAAACCAGTTACTAGTGTTTTTTTCTGTTTTTCCATTTTGCTTGTTTGTTTATTGTGCTCTTTGCTGTTCAAAAGTGTGTTGTGTCAGTTTCTTTGCTCACTGCTTCAACATTTTGAGTCAGAGATCAGAAAGGTTTCACCATGTTTTCTAGTATTTGTGTGATGTTATTATTTCTACTTAGTTCTATGATCCATGTTAATTGAAATCGTCGTATATGTGTGTGTGTGGTTTTGAAAGTTTGCATATGGTTGGTTATTGAGTACTTCTGTGTTTTTGTTCACCTGTTTAAATTTATTCTTGAGTAACTTTTTAAACTACATCATTAAGAAAGTTACTATTAATAGTTCTTTTATGTTTGTGGAAATATGTACTAAATGGTCTGTGGTATCTTTATTAAATGTGTGTCTCCATGTACTCTTTTTTTGTTTCCCAGCATGAAGACTTTTTGCTTGCCCTGCAGATGAATGAAGAACAGTATCAAAAGGTAGTTTGAATAATAAATAAGGGGGAATCTGATGCAGACCATGCAGACCGGGTCGGGAGTTCAAGTCTCTGTGGGCCAAGTGTTGCTGACCGTCCAAACCATAGGCTCTGAGGATCAGACTTTAGCCACCTAGCAGACATAGCAAACTGTCCCTCATCTGATTATTCAGTTATGCTTGTTAGTAATTGCATACATGAGCCCTGGATACCCACAGATAAATGTAAAAACCTTCTCTAAAAGCCGAGAGTATAAATTCCAAAAAGGCAAAGTTTGTCCCAAAAAAAAAAAAAGCTAAAGAGGATAGAGAGAAACTCTGTTAACTGATGGTATGTGGAGGGGATTATAATCAATGTAATGAAGCAAGGTATATGAATGTTTGAATGTGACAATGATGCTGTGCCCTGAAAGCTTTCACTCAATCCACAGTAAAAACCTTAAAAAAAAAGGTAGTTTGAAATCTCACCTCTTTATTGTCATGGGCTGTTTTCTTTCACATTTTCTCAGCCTGTTGACTTTAAGGTCCTATTGAGGCCCAGGTCAGAGACATGAAATAGGACATTCCCTTTTCACTGATAACAGACTTCGTCAGAATTGAAGGAACACTGATGATAGAGATGTTCCTGTCAGAGAGACCCTTAGAAGGAAATATTAGAGCTCAGATATCAATTGCAGAGTTCTCAAGAAGAGATATGTCCAACCTCAGGGCCAGATGGGTTTTTTGTAGGATTCTGCTATCTTTACATAGCAGCCTTTTCTAATATAACTATGAGTGGATTAATAATTGGATAGATTGTTGTAGTTAATATAAAAAGAGTAAATTTTCTGGTACTCAATTTTACTTGAGGTTGCTACTTACTTCCATTAGCAACAGTCAATAGTTCCTTAAAAGATACATCACCTTGAGGCTTGAGCCCCTCATGTTCCTGTCTTACAAGAGGCAACATCCAACTTAGGGACACTTTTTGTGATTTTGGTTCTTGACTTCTATAGTCATGACTCAGATATGATTGTTCTGCTGGCACTGTGGAATGCATGAATATGGTAACTATATAGGAAGAAGTACTCAAAATAACAAAGTTCTAGACATGAGAGAGCAGATGAGATCAGTCAGACTCTGATGACTCAAAAAAAGCAGTGTCAAAGATCAGGGGAGTGGTTTGAAGAACATTCTTTCATGGAGCACATATTAATGCATGTATTTTATTTGTGTGACTTTAACTAGGCATATGTTGTTGTTCAGTGCCCCATATCACCAACTTCAGTTCACAGTAACCCCATGTGACAGAGTAGAACTATGCAGTGTTTAATAGGCTGTCATCTTGATGGGAGGGAGTAGAGAGCCAGGTCTTTCTCTGTTGGAGCAATTGGTTTGGTTCAAACCATCAACTTTTTGGTTTGCAGCCAGATATTTAACTGCTGTCCCACTAGGGATCTCATAAATAGGCATATAAAATTCTTAGTATTACACCCCAGAAAGAAAAGTTACTCTGAAGAAAATGAAAAAGTATGAAAATCTTATTGTCTCTGTTGTTAAGTACCGTCGAGTTGGTTCCAGTTCATAGTGACCCTGTATATGGTTTCTGAGGAGGAGCTGGTGGGTTTGAACTGTCAACGTGGTTCGCAGTCTGTGATCCTACAGCACCGGGAGCTGTGTGTTAATACTACCTGCCATGTTATCTAGCATCTGGAGCTAGATTTCTGGCATAAAACAGCTTGTCATGGTCTTATGGCTTCTAGAGGTACTGTTTCAGACTGCATTTGGGAGCAAGGAGACATTGCTACCCTCTCCCTAAATGGAGATCTTCTCATTTGCATTTCTGTCTGCTGACTACAGGATGGCCAGCTGATCGAGTGCCGCTGCTGCTATGGGGAGTTCCCATTCGAGGAGTTGACACAGTGTGCAGATGCTCACCTGTTCTGCAAGGAGTGTCTTATCAGATATGCTCAAGAGGCAGTCTTCGGGTCTGGGAAGGTAAGGTGTGTGTAATGTCTCCCTCCACTGGAATCCTTCTCTGAGTCTGCAGATGCCTGGTTTATATACAGTGTACATGCCTCATGGAAGTACCTTTTGGGTAGTATAGTGAATTCTGCTAAGCGTACATCTTCCTAGATGTTCCCTAACTGATGTGATTATGTTGGTTCTGTGTACAGTGTGTTTCTTCACAGCCCGTTTAGAGAAACACCATACTTCTGTTTTTAATGTCAATGAAGGATAAAGTGACAAAGACAGAACTTAATCTGTTTGAGTTTATTGGAGACCAGTGTGGTTTTTGTTGTTTTTTTTTTCAACGGATGTTTTTAAGGATCTTGTTGTTATGTGCCATAGAGTCGGTTCCTACTCAATAGAGGCCCTGTATAGGGTTTCCGAGGCTGTAAATCTTTTTTTTCTTAAATGTTTTATTGTGAATTATGTGAT